TAATTTATCGTTTTCATACAAGGCAAGTTCTTTCGTGCCTTCATTTTCGTTACTCTCCGTCTTTTTAGGAAAGCTATCTCATTTTTTCAATTATTTTCTTAATCAAATTAAGATTTTTTCTTAAATTGTCATTTCTTAAACAAATCAATTCTCGACATTGGACTACTTACCTCAGCTAATTCCTTGAAGTTGGCCCTTCCCTTTATCATGTTAGGTACGAGGTTATACATTTGTTGACTCAAGTCTTGCAGTTTGGTTTTTGTCACCTTTTCCTAATGCTAGAACCTCTCACTGACCTCCTTTATGCTAATAACTCTTGACATCATCTTATTTTTTGAACTTATTCTTGTCTCTTTAGAGTGTCACTCTAAATGATTGACAATATTCTTTCGCAATCAAAGTAAAGATTGTAGTTGTAACACAACAAATTAACATGGTACATGAGATGTATGTCATGCACAATTTTATGTTTACTTCTCAAACAGACATGTGAATATCCTACCAACCTTGTCTCTCATGGGAACTTTTTTTGTTGGATCTTGTTATCCAATTTTCACTCCTTGGATCTTGGTTCAAACATCAACGTGATGAGTTCGAGCTAACTTATCACTCAAAATAACAAACCAAAAATGTGAGATGACCTTCCACCTAAAATATTACTTCACTATAGACAATAAACACTTTGTTTAGACGAGTGCACCTATCTTGTAATAGGCAACTAAGTATAATAGGCAACTAAGTATACATTTATCACATGGCTAAATGTTGTGAAACAATTGTGCCTCTATTATAGACAAAAAGATATATTCTTAGTTTTCTATCCAACAACATGTATTAAGAGCATTTATAGTCAAAAAAATTCTAAATAACTATATGCTTAAGTTCTCAGTGAGATTCAAGCTCCCATAAATATAAAGTTGTTGACACACTCCAAGATCTCTCAAGAAATATGAAAACACTCCTTTTATATCCTTTGTCATGTGCTTGTAAGTGACAAGTATGATTGATGTTCTCCCAACTTGAATGGAGTTGGGTTTTCCAGTTCCCTACTGAGCTAGTTGAGCAAAGTGCACAATATGTATCTGAGTGAAAAGTGTTTTAATGTAAAAATAATTAGTAAACAAAAGAGAGTTTGACTCTTTCCAAAATCAAACTCTATAACCTAAAGTCTCGGTAACTATGATATTGTTGAGCTTGAAGTTTTAAAGAATTCTAAATTTAACCTTCAAGCTAGCATGGAAAGTTATGACAGTCATTAACTAAATTAAACCCCATAAATCATTGACTTATATCATATGAAGTTCTTGCAAATAACTCACGAATATCCTAATAGTGATTTTAAAAACTCAGTACAATATAGGAAATGTGTCAAGTAATCTATCTCTCTTAATCTAATTGTCAGACTCCTACTCATAATGAAGGCTAACTAGGCCAAATTTTACCCAAAGGATTATCCTCTCTTAAGCATGCATTTTCATGCAATAAATAAAAACAATTATATAACTTTAAAGCTAGATATAGAAAAAGCATATGACAAAGCCTATTGGCCTTAGAAAATCCCATCTTCGTATCTTGTTTTCCTTTGCATGGAGAAATTGACTCACTCAGTTGAAAGAGAGATTAGCAATAAGAACTGGTAGCCTCTTCAACAAACCAATGAGGGCTCGAAAAATTCTCATATATATTTTTAAAAGATGATATACTTCTCTTTCCCATGGCAAGCATGATACTTATTAAGAGAATTACATGTGATGCAAAGCTTATGGAGCCTCTGGATAGTGCTTCAATATCACCAAATTTAAATTGGACCTCTTCCTCGATAGTACCAATGTTGTCATAAATGAGATTAGTGAGCTCTACCGAATCCCTACCACCGTTGACTTTCGGAGGTACTAGGCTTTAATCTTATTCATAGGAGGATTAATAGTAATATTTTTGATAAAGTTAACCCAAGATTAGGAGCTGGCAAGCTGTTGGCTACCATATTTTATTATTTTAGTTTACTATTTAGTATTAAGTAATTAGAACTTTATGAGAATAATAATCTTATATATTCCATGAGCACAACATGCAATATAATACACTCACTTGAATTCTGTATTTACTTTGGATGGAGCCCAACAAAATATCGTGCGATGTGCAAAAAGGGAAAAGATGAACGAAAATCCAAACCTCGATTGCGCTAACAGATTTCATTTCTTATTGAAAGATTACAGCATATCAAACAGAAAATTAAACTTAAACAAGTCTACAAACGACAATTTCCCAAACCTTTTATTTGGATTAAGATTATTAACTATAGTACAGGATAGACCTCCTAAATATTACATAAACTCATCAAACAACTCAAAATAATATAGCAGTAACTCAACAGAAATGATTATACATATTTCTACTTTCTTGAGTAGTTAACATTTCAATCAAAAGTCATCTTCTCTGCTTCTTGCCTCTCTGATGCAAACAGTGCAGTTGACAGATAACGCTCTCCAGCACTTGGAAAGATTACCTGCTCAACAAGGAAGAAAATATGTGCAGCACAGTTAATTCATATCGACCTGAAGGATAGTTGAAATCATCCTCCTCGAACTAGAAAATAGTAACACCGACAAATGGCTATGCGTGTATGACACCAATCAACTTACAGCTATGAGTTTCCCAGCATTTTCTGGCCTCTTTGCATACTTCATTGCTGCTGCTGCTGATGCCCCGGAGGAAATTCCTACCTGCAGAAGAGAGAAAAAAATGTTGATCACCCTATTTTTGTAAAAGCCAGTAACCTTGAATAGCTGCGGCAGTGATAGTATGTTATGGTAAACAGTAGACTATATAGAAGATCATAATAAAGATATCTAAAATAGCCATAATCATACCAATAAACCCTCTTTCAAAGCAATCTTTCTCGAAGTTTCAACAGCTTCCGGACCTGTTACCTGGAAAATTATAGAAACAGATGGTTGATTACATATAGTCCATGTTTGGACTGAGGGAAATGGGAAAAGGAACGGAAACGAATGGATGATCACCACCTTTTCTCTTGTTCGGATGAAAAATAACAATTAGGAAAGGAAAGAGGGATGCTGAACAGCTCTCTATTCTCCTTAAAACTTCATTTTTTTTATTCATCAGAATTGGGAGAAGAGGAAGAGAAAGGACCGAGATTAAAAATTTTATAGAGGAATTTTCTGTCTTATCCTTACTTCCTAACTTGTAATTTTATCAATAAAATGTATTCTGATTATTTTCTTATAACTAACCCTTTTATTTCCCTTGTAAACTAAAGAAAACAAAATATCAAAGTAATTATTTCCTTTCCTTTTTCAGTTTTAAGTTATCCAAACAATGGAAATACTTCTCTTTTCACTTCCTTTATTTTTTTCTTTCTTTTACTTTCCTTAACTAGTTTTTACTCAAACATATTTTCTTTCTTGGAAAACAAACAGATAACTAGTTCATCTAGAAGTCAAACAGAAAAAATGTGTGTGTGTGTGTTTGTGTATTTAACAAGACATACAAATTACAATATTGATACCTTCATACTCAGAATCCAATGAAAACAGAAAAAAAACTTCAGCGCATAATGTTTAAAAGGAAATTATCAACAATATGAGTTTTAAGACTTACCTGAATAATTTCATCAATCTTATCAATATCTTCAAAAAATGGAACATAGCCTGGGCCTATGCCTTGAATCAAATGTGGACCTTTGACATGAAAACAGCATGAAATACTCCTAGTTAGGAACATTTTTACATGTAAAAGGATGTTGCTTACATGGTTTAATTGAATGTAAAGTGCAAAATTCAGTTGACTACAAGATCTGAAAGACATTGTTTAAGTTCCAAAAAAATCGGCTTCACCTAAAAATTAGAAAGAGTTCAACATCCTCTGAGAAATGAAAGAGGAAACTATAACTCACCTGGTTTTCCTCCACTTAGGATTGCACTTTCAACCGGTTCCACGCCAATCACCTAAGATAGAAACAAAAGAAGGCACCCTATTGATAAAAACATTCAGATCAATTCTTTCTTTTGTAAATGCTTGCGAACACACCTTAATATTCGGATTTTTCTCCTTGAGAAATTTCCCAACACCAGCTATTGTCCCAGCAGTTCCTATGCCTGCAACCACAGCATCAACTTTTCCTCCAGTGTCTCTCCATATTTCTGGACCAGTTGTGTCATAATGAATCTATAAGGAAAACAAACAAGTGATATGACTAGTTAACCTGCCCACCCATCTTCGTATACCCAAGATTGATAAAGTTGGTTAATACCTGTGGATTGGCAGGATTGTCATATTGCCTGAGCATAAAGCTGTCAGGGATATTACTTAGTAACTCCTCCGCCTTCCTAAGAACCTCCTCAAAGCCCTTATCTGGATCTGTGAGATAAACCTCAACTCCGAAGGCTCGGAGTACAATTTTCCTTTCAAGACTGGCACATGCTGGCATCGTGATGATAGACTTGTATCCCTTCGCTGCTGCAATGAGTCCCACCGAAATTCCAGTGTTTCCACTTGTAGGCTCAATGATGACAGTCTGTTCCAACATATCCAGAACCAGAGGAAGTTTTGTTAGCTTGATAAAAACATAGTTGAAGTTCAACTGTTAAAATCAATGATATTGACTATGAGGTCCTTCTAAATTTTCTAACACTCTATTTAATTTGATAAGTGATTAGTAAATATTCAACAACTAATAAGCTACGCAATTTATAGGTTCAAGCAAAAACATTATTGTAATCTTTTTGGTGTCTTACCTTGCCTGGAGTGATCAAGCCCCTTTCTTCTGCATCTTTGATCATACTATATCCAATTCTACACATTAAGAAATTAAAAGTATGAGTTAGCCTATGTATCTTTCTGATTATAAGATTTGCCTAAAGAAAATAAGAAATAAATTGTACACCTGTCTTTCACACTGTTGCCTGGCTCAAAAGACTCTAGCTTGGCAGCAATTCGTGCTAAGCAACCATCTACGACTCTGTTGAGATATACCATTGGGGTATTTCCTATCAACTGTATAGACCAACATAGAAACCAGTAAACGGCTAAGAACATGAATAAGATAATATTCAAGTATAACTACTATAAAAGAAGCTTTGTATTGGGGAATGAATTACTTCTGTAACATCTTTTTTAATTCGGCAAGTGTCCTCCATGCTATCTTTCTAGAAGAACTACAAGGAGCATAAGAGGTGAAAATTTAAAACCGTGTATGAATTACAAAAGACTGTTGACAGACATCTCAAAAAGAGAAATATACAGATGGAAATTTCTAGTTCTGTTAGATTTTGAGGAGTCAAAACCAAGCACTAAAGTTACATACATGGAAACATCTAAAATCCAAAGCATCTAGAGCCAACAACTGTAATAAAACATATGGCCAATCATCACCATGCAATCAGCAAAATGGCATCCTGCAAAATTGTAATCACAGACAGCTGTCTAATGTTACTCCTATCAATATCAGCAGAATATATATAGATAGACAGATTAAGTCCTCGTGAGATCATCAGATGTTAATATTTTACTAGCTAAATCAGTTGATACCCATGTGAAAAAAAAAAAAAAGCAAATTGAATCACCCCTTAAAGCTTATTTTCTTTCACCAAACCAATTGAAGATACCCTAAAAGAAGTACTTAGTCTGACAAAGCAACAAACACAAACTGAGCAAAAAACATAAAATGGAAAAGAATCAGTCCTCGAACCAACCAGCAGCGGAAAGTATCCGGGAATTAGAGTTAGATAACTAGACAACAAAGAATATTTATAGAAACTCTTATATCTATTCTCTATATCAAGAAACCAAGCAGTAGAACGACAAGAAGATAGTACCAGTCAGACTTTTAAATGCATGCTTAGCAGATAAGACTTATCTTGGATCAGAACAAAGAAGTCTTTGGAATTAACTATGGCATTGTTTACACTCTAATTTTTTGATACAAACATTGTTAACGTAATCTCCGCCTATCCATTTTCTTGGGTTTCTTGGTACAAGTTAGATTGAGCAACTGGACTTTAGCTGCTCTTGAAAAGCTTTTTGCGACTATAACAAGAGTGCTTCTTTTATTTCTTTCTACTTGATACTTCTATTAATGAACTGATTAAGTGTAAACATGAACGTTTGTTTTGTTATGAACTGGTTTTCATTTCGGCAAAATGACAAGATAATATTATCTAGTAACAGATGATACCTTTAAAAGTCAACACACAAAAATGTATGTATATATATGTGTATGCATATAAGCCAAAGTGTATTGGAGTTTTGTTTTCTTCGGTCCAATGTGGTTGAAGCCCCTGGCATAGTGCCAGGGCCGGTTCACATTGTGTTAAAATTGATACTGTTCTTGTACTTTTTTCATGTTGTGTATTTGACAGAATTTACATTACATTCTATTCAAATTTCTTTCATTCTGATTCAATTTTTTAAAAATTTATTTGATATCTATAAACTAATTATAATTTATACATTTGATATCTAATTAAATCAATTTTACAATTATAATATCAAATTCCAGTATGAAAAAAAAATTAATCATAAAAACACTAACTCGTATTGTGTTAATTCTAACATATAAATCCCGAGATTTCAGCGCGGTGATGAAGAAGATACCTCTTGATAGAGGATTTCCCGAGCAATGAGGACTTTCAGCAGGATGAATATAAGATTGTGAGCTTTCAGCGAGAAAGATTAGCCTCAAATTTCTGCAAACAGAACAGATTTCCCAAGCGAATAAAGTGGATCTTAATAGACTGGAAGCCAAGAGGAAGAAAAAAAAAAGAAGGAAGAGCTAACGGCCAAGAGAAAAGAGAAGAGAGTGGTCATCTTCCTCTCTCATCATTGACATTATCTACTTCCTCTTTTCGTAGGGAATCAGAAATTAACTTTGTTTTGCTTTGATTATCTCTCTCCTCAAGTTCTGCACTTTTTTCTCTTTTCTCTTGAAACAAAAAAAATTATGTTATTTTTCTTCTTATGAATTTGATTCTCGCTAGATTACTTTATACTTGTTTTCGCTAATAGTATATTTAATTTGCAGTTTGATCTATGGTATTAGACATACTTATCTTCCATTCTATAATTATAGATTTTATATCCTAACATGTTAAAAAATGAACTACAAAAATACCAACATGAATTAGATTAAAAGAAAAAAAACTAAGTTCGAATCAGAATGCTTCTTTTCATTTAACTTCGATTGCATTTGCATTATTTCTCAACATTAATCGCAATTAACAAAATCTTAAGAGTGAGCACGAATACCAGATCCGGTCCCTTTCAGAAGGAAAAGCTATCAAAAGATACAATTTAAGAAAGTCCATAAGCCGAGTACATGAGTTGTTTACAGCATATAATACAACTTTATGATAACCATTTGGACTAATATCTATCATCTTGAAAATGCATTGTGTTTTTTATGTCTGAATCACAGTGTTACACAAACACAAAGTTAGACCTTGCAAACTATCTGAAAGATAAGACTCAGTCAAAAGCCATAGTCTCCGCCTCGTGCCTTATTGAATCAAACAGCTGAGTAGACAGAAAAAGCTCTCCAGGACTGGTGAAAATCACCTGCAGCAAAGAAAAGACAGCAAAACAATGAGGAAACCTGGTGGAGTTGGATTGAAACAGCACATTTGACAGTTGTTTCTACAAAACTTGGATGTATATCCAAATTCTATCAGTAGATTGTCTTCTTCAAAGGCAAAGCATCTTTTAATTGGCACAGGAGTCATATTAGCAAAATTGATATTAGTAGTTCTATCTATCTTCTTAATGTCTTTGCTCAAATTGTTGGTGGGTATGGCAAAGAAGATCAAGTTCATTACTAAGAATTTCTTTCTGGGAGAATTCAAATGCAAATAGGAGGATTATCCCGTTTCATTATTAGGAGGATAAAAAAAAAATTAATTTACCGCTTTATTATTTAGTAAGGATATTAGACTTGTTAAAATACGACTACTGGTATTACTTTCCCATAAACAGATATTAATACGGATAAAAAATTTGTCATATAAATATTTTAAATAATTAATCAAACTCAATTATTTCAAAGAAACTAAAAGAAATTTTTAGAACACAAAGTACAAATGGTAGTTTCAGCTATTGGGTAACACACCTCAATTGTGTACTTCCATGTTTTCTGCCTCATGCCTAATTGAATCAAACAATGCTGTAGATAAATACCGCTCTGCGCAGCTGGGAAAAATTGCCTGTATAGAACAGAATAAATAGTGAAACTTAATGAGGTTCAATCTAAATTGTTTATGTAAATAATAGATTGAATGTTTTTAAAAAAGTAGTTCAAATATGATGCTTTATGCGATATTATGAGTGAACTATGACTGATCTATAAGCTTGCGTGTGGAGGCATGTTTGATGTAAAAATAGTAAATGGTTTCTCCCCATTACCTTGAGCTTCTGAAAAGATTAGTTTAGCTTTATGATTTTACACAAACGAAAACATGATAATGTGACACTAGTTTTTAATCATCAATTCATCATAAACTTTTAATTCGATCCATCTAGCCATGGAAATAATAGCGCCAAATATGCTTAAGCCACTAAACTTACAACAATGAGTTTTCCGGTATTTTCTGGTTTTTTAGCCAACCTTATTGCAGCAGCAGCTGCAGCTCCGGATGATATACCAACCTGCCAAACATATCAGATCAGACTTGAAACCTTGACTACAGGAGGGCCACTAACTGACCAAGAAGAAGGTAATAGAAACATAGATATTAAGTTTCGGAACAAAACTAGAAATTTTGTAGAATTTGTTTGCAAATGTACACTTAGTTCAATAAAAAGATTATAAAATCCATCATAAAATGATAAATTTATGAAATTTAGAACTTATTATTCCAATTCTACATAAAATTTTATATGTGATTAATTTTTATCATTTTCTATAAAAAAAATTACATCATTCCTTAGTTGAATTAAATGTAAATTTACACATGAATTCTACAACATTTCTATGCTTGTTTCAAACAAAGCCCTGAAAATGAAAAGTTAAAATGAACATGGAAAGATTTTATAAGCAATCGAAAATGTACCAGCAAACCCTCTTTCAAGGCAAGGAGCTTTGTAGTTTCAATGGCTTCCTCACTTGAGACCTGAGAAGTTACAGGAGCAGCAGACATCATCTAAAGGTATAATCTGAGCCCTGTGTTGGCATTTGCTATAGATCAAATATAGACTTTGCATGAAAAGACACTATGCGAGTATAAAATATTAAACAATCAAGAAGAAAAAAAATTAAAGAATGGAAAACATATGTAGCACAGTTATTATGACATACTCTATAATGGGATAGAATCCAAATTCAATGAAAAAAGTTAGAGACACAAAGATGTAAAGCTCATGCTAAAACCATAACCTCAATACGGTCAATTTCGCAAAACTTTGGACTTTTTTTTAAACATAAAGAAAGATATATGAGCTTATCCGCCATAGAGAAAGGGCATTCTCTTAGGTAATTAACCTTAACGGAATCAAGACATGTCATGATAAAAGAATATAAAATCACTTTGATCACATCATTTGTTGATAACAACATATGCTCTCAAACTCTCTCCCAATCTTCAGAACTATGATGTCTCTCTATGGGGATGTAAATATGTATCATTAGATTTCATTTGAATGAAATGGTAACGACAGACTTGTAAAGCCTAAGGGAAAATTAGCACTTCTCCCAAAATTGTTCTATGACTTACTTGCAGAACATCTTTTAGTATGTCAGCATCCAAAAGGGGAGGAATGATACCGGCACCAATTCCTTGAATCATATGCGGGCCTACAACATGTGCAGCATGCAGTGCATCATCAAATTAGGAACCATGAGCTTTCAGTTGCTCATGTTAGCTAGTATAAGGCAAAAATCAAATCTGCTATGGATCTTTTCAGCATTTGAACACACACTATGGCCATAGTCTTTGGAACAAAACCCAGCAAAGTGCAAATGTGAGTGGATTTCTTCCACTTGCATGCATTTACTTCCAAGATTGCATATCTATTGATACTAATAGGACTAAATTGAGTACAAATGTCAGGGGTCTTAGCTAGTTACTGTCAGAGGGATGCATATGTGAAAATCTGCATTGACAAAGTTACCATCAAAAGCAAAAGATTTTGCTTTCTTGTCAGGTAAAAATGACTCTTCTTTTGGTTCAAGTGGAAGAGAAGAACTTAAGCAAAGCAGTTTCTTCTTTTAACAACTATAGCCTATGTTTGGTTTGAACTACTAACTTCGTAGAAAACAATATAAATGAATAAAGTTGAAACAAAAACAGTATTCTAATTTTCTTTTTACTTCAAGTTAGGTACAACCTTTTTTCCCATATAAGCAAGCAGGAATCAGGAATCTTGATCAAAAGAATTCAGTATGAGAATAAATATTAATATAGATAATGATCAAATTCTACATTTCACGAATATTCTAATCACGTGAACTTTAGAACGAAAAAGAAAAGAATATTATAGTAACATAAACTCAAAAAACCAAAAAAAAAATGGTATAACAATTAAGTGAAAGAATATGATAGAAATTGAATAAAAAATTAAGGGATGAACTAGTGTAACACTGAGTTCCCTTTTTTTTCACCCTACGTGCTAATTAAAAGGAGCAGACATCCCAGGGCTTGCATGCACAACCTTATAGAGAAAGATAGAAATACTAACCACCTAACTAAAGGGTGATTCTTGAAATATTTAGTTCTATCCACAATCACATAAATATTAGATGATTCCGTATCAAGGCAATGGAGTTGAACAAGAACACAAGAGAGCTAAGAAATGAAAGGAATGGCAACGCACCAGGCTTTCCTCCATTCAAGACAGCACTTTCTGCTGGTTCAACTCCATAAACCTATATGCAACCAAAAGAAAACACACTAGCAAATTAATACTGGAAGTATTTTGTTCTTGTGCAATCTGTCTGTCATGACATGTCCATGAAATGTGCAGAAAGTGCATCGTGTGTGCACAAAAACAAACAAGATAACCTCAATATCTTTGTTTTTCTCCTTAAGGAATTTCCCTGCACCAGTTACTGTACCACCAGTCCCTACTCCTGCAACCAGCACATCAACTTTCCCTCCTGAGTCTCTCCATATTTCTGGACCAGTGGTCTCATAATGGATCTAAAAGAATAATCATGTAATCATTTAACTCCGACAATCGCTTCCAAATGTCACAAATTTTCTGAGAGAACAATACCTTTGGATTGGTGAGATTTTCAAATTGCTGGAGCACATAACCATTGGGTGTGTGGCTTATTATCTCCTCGACCTTGTCCATACAACCTTTTAAGCCTTTTCTTGAATCTACCAGGTAGACCTCAGCTCCGAAAGCTCGGAGCAAAATTCTTCTTTCAATACTCATCTTTGAAGGCATTACAAGGATAACCTTGTAACCCTTGGCTGCAGCAAAGGATGCCAGTCCAATTCCCGTGTTACCAGCAGTAGGCTCGACGAGGATAGTCTTTTAGCCAATAGTATTCAATCATATGAGAAAGGAAGACAAATTTATTAATCCAACAAACTCTATAATTTTGAACATTTTTGTGGCAGATGTCCTCCTAAGACAAATATTAACTCTTTGATATGGGAAAACACTCTTGATCATCACTAAATTGCGAGATAAACTAACATCACCAAAGCTAGACTTTATGCATTAATAGTGCATTACATGCTGCATTGCATATCCACCAAAATGGCAACCCTTCCCCAATTTAACATGATGATCTAAGTTCTTTGGTGCGACAAGCAGAAACTCTTAGTGCTGACAGGAAATAAAGGGAGCAAAGTGAGTTGTGAATTATTGCAATAGCAAACTTTCCATTATGTACCTTCCCTGGTGTAATCAAGCCTTTATCTTCAGCATCTTGAATCATACTATATGCAATTCTGCATCCAAAATTTGGAAGTCAAAACCTCTAATTCCCAGGTAAAAGTTTGCTGAATGAACACTAATTGAGAGTTACGTACCTGTCTTTAACACTAGCACACGGTCCCATCATCTCCAACTTGGCAGCAATTCGTGCAACGCAACCCTCCACAACGTGATTGAGATACACCATTGGAGTATTGCCTATTAACTGCTCGAGCACAGTGAAGCGGAAGAAAGGGAGAAGAGGAAGTACGTAAATCATAAGCAAACTTACTGTCGTGCAACTGAAGATGTATAAGCCATCATAAAATATTTGAAAGCATGAAACATTACTGCAGTGACATCTTTCTTGATTTGGCAGTTGTCTTCCATATTATCTGCTTGGTATATCTGCACATTCATTAAAGAATAAAGTAATGGCTAATATTTGGTATATCTGGTTGTCAAAGACAAATTGCGTATATGGCCAAACCAGAGAGTGCTATAAGAAAGAAAAATGAGAATAAAGTACATTAGTCCAAATATGACTAATGACTCTAAACAGTGAGTATATCTCCAGATAATTTGAACGGCACAGAAAAACTTGGTGAAACAAAATAAAGGGACTAACGCTTAATTATTACCATGAGGTGACCTGGTTGACAAATTGTCAAATGTAATAGATGTGAAACAACTGAATTGAGTATCGATTATTCTAAAAGTTTAAGCTAATAAAATTGTCTAAATCTTGTTATTTATGATCTTACACTGGACAGGGCTACGATACTGGATGGAATAGGATAAAAATCTCCCTGTACTTCAAATTACCTTAGAATCTTGAGTCGGTAAACATAAGAAACTCTTCAATAAATCTAGAAAGAGATTCAACTTCCATTACTATAAGGGTACTGAACTTTTTTTCA